GGGGGGGGCTTGAGAGCAGCCTTTGCCGATTTTGCAGCAACTAAGGAAGCTGGCACACTCGCATCCATGGAACCGACAGGACCGCTGGCTGCAGCAGTCTTTGCCTTCACACGGCGTTGCTCCAAAATTTCGCGGGCTTTGCGGGCTGCTTCCTGCATAGCATCATTCGGCTTCATACCAATTCCCAAACCTCCTGCTGGGCTTGTCGTATTCTCAATCTTGATGCCTGCAGTTCCCCTGGAGGCTACGTAATCCAAAGAATTGGTAGTCATCTGGCGTGTGTAGGGCGGAGGGGTCCGTAGCCTGATGTCATGAGAGATGCACCACGCAAACTATAAGCCTGTGAACACATATCTGCACAGGACACAATGTGCTGTTGCGGCGCTCTGCCACATCCAAAGCTGTCAACGACCCTTCGCTGCCCGGCGCGGTGGTGGAGGCCGATGCCGGAGAAGCTTTCCCTTCCGCCTACAGTAGTGCATGTCCAGTGAGGGAGGAATCATGCACAGCATATCTGCTAGATTGTATACACCCTCAAGTCAAGCAGAGAACCCAAGACATCAAATGTTGTAAAGGCCTTGATCAGTGATGACGTAGAAGAACTTTGGGTAAGCCCAGCAGAGGGTGGTGGCGTGGAATGCTGCTCCTGCTTGCTGCACGCCTCAATCTATTTTAGGGATTTGTTACTGCCACATCTATATGAGGAAGAATCTGCGTGGGTTGATCGGAAAGTGTAGCATTTAAGTAGGGCGCCCCATCGTACTTGGCAAAGAAAGCATCAACCTTTTGCTTCAAAGTCTGTCTCGGAGTAACCAAGTCCTACGCAATTCCACGCAGGTGGCACATCCGGCACACATGTTGGTGAGATGGGGAACTGACACCTGGAAGTAGTCCCATGCACAGACAGCACCAGGCTAAGACGAACAACCCCTGAGCACATATTCCCAAGGTGAGCAGACCCACGTAGTCAGAGGGTATCCTCCTTGGCATCAGCAGCTGAAGCCATCACCAAGATCGTGCGTAAGCTATGCAGCTTTTTGCAC